TTGTATTTTTAGTAGAGATGGGGGTTTCACCATGTTGACCAGGCTGGTTTCGAGCTCCTGGCCTCAAGTGATTCGCCCGCCTCGGCCTCCCAAAGTGCTGGGATTACAGGCGTGAGCCAACGCGCGCAGCCCAGATCTCTATTTTCATCATTGGTTGTGCAAAACTCACTCCCCACCTCATCTTAATGATCCTTTTGGCAAAACGACAATACCAGCATAAAACAAATTTCTTCAGGATACAAATATTTTCATAATTTGTATTAACTCAACCTAAACTTTACCAGCCTGAATTGCTTCTTCAAGGCTAATACACTGTTGGGTATTATTTTAAGCAGCCTCCACCCAAGTGCACCTTGTACCTCTATTGATCTGCCTTAGGAATTCAGTAGATTTCTTTCAGATTCTTTCCCTCATTAATGTTTTCCGGTATCATCTGATAAATGATAGAAAATGCTGTACTGAATCACTACACCTATCAACCAAGTCAAAAATACATTTATATATTATAAATATATATAAATAAATATTAGAATGGGTTAAACTGAGCCAACCGTCTTACCATGTGCTCACGGGGGACTTCCTGTTTTCATGTTGAATAATAATATATTTTACGGTTAGCAAAGCCATTTCACCTGCAGTCGTTGATTGGTTCTAATTCCGAGCATTTAAATCCATCGCCCGTGTTTGCTTAAGGAACGCTGTGTTTTCTTACGAGTCTTCCAAATCGGTCCCTACTACACGCATATATGGGCGGCTGCGTGTCCCTACAAAGTCAGCCTGTTAACTTCCACTGGAGAAACAAAACTCTTAAGAACCTCTGAGCTGTAAAAATGTCAGAAAGCGGTGTCCCAGGCACCCTCTCCCAGAGAAAGCCAGGGGAGGGCGGTGGCTGCCCCCAGGCCGCCTCCTGCCCGGGGCGAAGCCGAGGCCTCCGCGCGCCCCCCGCCCCCGCGGCGTCTGGCTGCCTCGCCGCAGGGAAAGGCCTGGCCGGGCCTCCCCGGGCCGCGGCGGCGCCCCCTGCCGGCCGCGGCGGGCAGAGCGGGCGGAAGGAACCCAAGCCGGGCTGCCACCGTGTCCCAACCGGAGCTGCCGCCGGAGCTTCCCGGGACCTCGAGTCCGCGCTGAACGCCCTCCTCGCCGCCCGCCGCGTCCCGGCGCCCTCCGGAGCCGCCCGGCCGCCCGCGCACACCTGAAGCGGCAGGGCCGGGCCCTGTCTCGGTCCTCAGCTCGTCCTCCCCGCCCCGCACCGGCCTTCACTCTGGAGCGGCCCCGGCAGCCGCAGCAGGGGCGGCGGCGGCGGATCGAGGAGCTCTCCAGGTCGTCCCGGGAGAAGCTGCTGCAGTCCCGGGACAGGATGTTCTCCAAGTTCACCTCCATCCTGCAGCACGCCGTGGAGGCGGTAAGGCCGCGGGCTGCGGGCGCACGGCAGGCCGTGGATGGCGGCGGCCTACGCTCCCCGCCGGTCTCGGAGACAGCCGGGCGGCCTCGGCCCGGCCCTCGGCGGCCCTGGCCCCCGGGTGGGGTGAGGCCCCAAGCGGGCGCTCTGGGTGGCCGCCGGGTCGTGGAGGCGCCCGGGGCCTCGGGCCTGGCTCTGCGCGGGCGCCCCCTCAGTCCCTGGCTGCCCCAGGCCGGCGGTCCCTGCCTTCCTGCCTGGCCCTGCTCGGTGGTCTCCTCATTCCTCTGATGGGGACGGGGGTTCCGGGAGCACCTGGCGGGGTCGCAGGGAGCTCCCTGGGCTCCCTTAACCGTTAGCCTTCTCCGGAAAAAAGTGGTCAGCGTTGAGCAAGACAAAAGAAACGAGCAAGCCTCGCTTGGGCTTGGGATCTGTTTGGTTTTGGGGGGCAGGGGTGGGACAGGCGTGATCTCGCTATGGGGCGACCCTGGCGAGGGAGCAGCCGACCAGCCCTTGGGTTGCTGGCTTTGGCTTTCTCGGGCCTGGAGGCCGAACTCAGCTGAACCTTATGGATTGATCTGAAATAGGGTTTGGAGGGTCCAATCGAGTTTGCTTTCCACAGCTTCCAAGCTCACGGAGCAGAGACCATCTGTTTCCTTTCTTGTCTCATCCTCTTCCTGGACACTCTTCGGCTATCCTGCAATTGTATTCTCCTTTGAGGGTTTTAGACACCAGCATAGAGAGACAGTATTCAAGTGTCCTGATAGACTAATCAGTGAAAACAAACTAAAAAGAAAATGCCTTGCTGCTGTTCTAGTAAGAGTGCTAGTTGCTTTCCTTTAGCTGTTTACTTTATTCTGGGAGAACTGCCCAAATTGAAGAATGCATTCCGTGCAGGAACAATTACTTTGCTAATTTTTAACGTGGCATTCTCTTCCTATGTTCATGTTATGCGATAGGGCACTTTAAAATCTACACTTTAAAAAATTTCAGATACAACAGAATAATTTTTATGGGCAGATAAATGTAAAATGGAGTTTTTGAGTTCAGTAATGAAAACGAACTTTGGTACAATTGTTATTTAAGTGATATATGAGAAGTGTTAAAAAATTTAGCTCTAAGACAAGCTCTTGGGCAAACATCAAACAAAAAAACAAAAAACAGGGTTTCATGAATGTAGAGCAGTATTACACAGAGGGAAATGACAGTTGTAGACCTCAAGACAACTTTTAGTTTCTTCTTGCTGATGCACACTCCAAAGCACTTTTGTTAAAATAATTTAACTGCAATTTATTATAACATTTATGCCAATAATTTATTTATTTATTTATTTTTGAGACCAAATCTCTCTCTTTTTTGAGACGGAGTTTCACTCATGTTACCCAGGCTGGAGTGCAATGGCGCGATCTCGGCTCACCGCAACCTCCGCCTCCTGGGTTCAGGCAATTCTCCTGCCTCAGCTTCCTGAGTAGCTGGGATTACAGGCACGCACCACCATGCCCAGCTAATTTTTTGTATTTTTAATAGAGACAGGGTTTCACCATGTTGACCAGGATGGTCTCGATCTCTTGACCTCGTGATCCACCCGCCTCGGCCCCCCAAAGTGCTGGGATTACAGGCTTGAGCCACCGCCCCTGGCCCCAAATCTCATTCTGTTGCCCAGGTTGGAGTGCAGTGGTGTGATCTTGGCTCACTGCAACCTCTGCCTCCCAGGTTCAAGTGATTCTCCTGCCTCAACTTCTGTAGTAGCTGGGATTACAGGCACGCAGCACCACACCGGCTACTTTTTTTTTTTTTTTTCAGTAGAGATGGGGTTTTACCATGTTGGCCAGGCTGGTCTTGAACTTCTGACTTCAAGTGATCCATCTGCTTTGGCCTCCTAAAGTGCTGGGATTATAGGTATGAGCCACCATACCTGGCCTGAATAATTTTATTTTTAACATTAAATGTATGAGATACTTGGGAACACTAAATGAGATACTTGGGAATAAAAATTTACTACGTTACAGTCAGCCATCTTATCCATAGGCTCTGCATCTGATGCACCAAACTCAGGTAAAAAATATTCATGGGAGAAAAAAATTCTGCAGAGTTCCAAAAAGCAAAACTTGAATTTGCCACATTCAAGTACTACCTTGAATCCATGCGAATAAAGTGATGTGTAGGTATTGTATTAGGTATTATAAGCAATCTAGAGATGATTTAAAGTATACAGGTATGCATAGGTTATATGCAAATACTATGCCATTTTATAAGAGGGACTTGAGCGTCCGCAGATTTTAGGGGTGGAAAGAGAGGTCCTGGAATTAGTCCCCCATAGATTATATCATTTACCCATCAAGCTGGTATTTACAGAAATAAGTACTTAGAAAAAGCAAGATGGCTTTCCCTGCTCTCCTAGTAAAGGCCCATTTTTATCCGGAGGCCTGTGTTTTCTTGTCCTCGTTATCTTTTTATAATTGTATATATTAGCATCTGCCAAATTATCTGGCTCCTGCTCTGTAATATCCTTAGCCTACTTTGCTGAGGTTAGTTAGAAAAAGTTGACTTGTATTCGGATGGTCCTGGAATTAATGCATTGCATTTAGAAATGTAATGATTTCATTTGCTTATACCTAATGTTTTCATCCGTGGCACCAACCAATTTATCTTGATAGGAGGCTAAATCTCATGAAAAATGTTTGATATACTGTACTAACCGTTTATTCCTCCTTTTAACATTTACTCTTGGTAATGATCTCATATGCAATGATGAGTAAACCATACTTGTGGTATTTGAAGAACTTTTTCTGTTGCCCAAGATAAGTTTCCAGTTATTCAGTTCTGTTTATTGATTTGCTTGACATTTTCCTCTCTGAAGCAATCTTACCATTCCTCAGTTCATTTCATTAGCTCTTCTGTGTGTTCCTGTTCATTTGTATGCCCAATTAGCATTTCCTGATGCAGTATTCCAATTAACATAATTATCAGGATTATACAGAGACAGAAAATACCTGGATACTGACATGGCCTTTTTTCATTATTTTGTTGGATAAGTCTGTGGAGGAATGCTTTCTTAACCATTTTTGTATGATTACTTTCCAGGTTTCCTTAATTGGATGAGCCTTCAAATGAGTTTTTAATTTAACTATTTGTTTATTTTTCGAGACAGGATCTCTGTCACCCAGGCTAGAGTGCAGTGGTGTGATCATAGCTCACTGCAGCCTCCACCTCCAGGGCTCAAATGATTCTCCTTCCTCAGCCTCTCGAGTAGCTGGGACTATAGGCCTGTGCCACCACACCCAATTAAAAAAAATTTTTTTTTTTTAGACTCTGGGTCTACAATGCTGCCCAGACTGGTCTTACGTTTTTGGGCTTGAGTGATCCTTCGACCTTCATCTCTTAAAGTGCTGGGATTATAGGCATGGAGCCATCATGCCTGGCCCAAATGGTTTTTTAGCCTTGAATAGATGTATTCATGTATATGAGGTTTAAACATAGAGTTTTTCTTATTGTTTAATTAATGGTTTCTCCTCACTCCCTGGTAACTACTTACAAGATAAAAAATGCAGCTAAGATATTTTCCAAAATTAGCATTTGAAAATGTGTTATTAAACTGATAGAAGAGAAAGTCACACCTTTTTTTTTTTTTTTTTAGATGGAGTCTTGTTCTATTGCCCAGGCTGGAGTGCAGTAGCTGAATCTTGGCTCACTGCAACCTCCACCTCCTGGGTTCAAGCAATTCTCTGCCTCAGCCTCCAGAGTAGCTAGGATTTCAAGCGCCCACCACCACGCCTGGCTAATTTTTGTATTTTTAGTAGAGACGGGGTTTCACCATGTTGGTCAGGCTGGCCTTGAACTTCTGACCTCATGATCCCCCACCTCAGCCTCCCAAAGTGCCGAGATTACAGGTGTGAGCCATCGAGCCTTGTTGTTCACGTCTTCTTGATCAAAAACAAGAACTGTAATGTAACTCCTGCCTCCCTTTTTAGAAATGATGGTCTTCCCATCCTGGTCAACATGGTGAAACCCCGTCTCTACTAAAAATACAAAAAAATCAGCTGGGCATGGTGGCGTGTGCCTGTAATCCCAGCTACTCAGGAGGCTGAGGCAGGAGAATTGCCTGAACCCAGGAAGCAGAGGTTGCGATGAGCCGAGATCGCGCCATTGCACTCCAGCCTGGGTAACAAGAGCGAAACTCCGTCTCGGGGAAAAAAAAAAAAAAAAAGAAACGATGGTCTTCCCTCAGTATAGAAATGATGGGCCAGTAAGAGGCTTATGAAGTGAATCTGTTCTCTTAGACAGTTGCCACATGTCACAAGTCTGAATTCAGACCTCTCTTGTAGTTAGTTCCAGGGTTAGAATAGATTGTTTTAACACAACTTCTTCAAAAGATAGATCAAACACTTTCCATTTAGTACAAGTTAGTATTTGTTGAGAGCCTAGTCCTCACTAGGGAGCGTGCCAAGGGCATGCTCCTCTTAAATTCCAACCAGTTCCTCCTTAGTGGGCAGATTTCTTCCAGAGAAGATAAAGGTCAGTGTCAGGGAAGAGTTTTATCATTTTAACTAATTCCTTCAATGGAATTCATCTTTCAG